CTAGATGGAGGTAAGTGGTCAGCTTCCCGCCCTTACCGCTTTGTCTACTGGTAAAGCGTCCACGATACCCACTCTACTTTAAGGTACGGTCATCTACCGCTGTGGAGCAAACGGGGAGAAATACAGACCGCATTTCCTGTGCCCGATACTCGTTGATATAAACTGCGAGTGCCTCAGGGTAAGGGCTAAACAGTGTGCAGCCTCCCCCAACGAAACGCAAAAATAACAATCCCCTCCCAGCACCGGAACCAATCGCTCAATCCAGCGAGGGGTGACCCATCCTCACACGTGTATTCCTGTCTCGCAAGGCAGACGCTCCACCGGAAGACACGTCACACTCTCAGGAAACAATTGAAATATGAATGAGAAGAATATCGATATGAACTTTAAAAATGTCTGGAAAGAAATTCTGACATAAACTTTCCTTCAAATTTTTCAATCGATATGACGAGGCTATCAGGAACTACAAATCAATAATTACATAACTAATTTATCTAGTCCTCAGTGTTATTTCCTGTATTCAACTCTTCGTAAAATGATTATAAAGTGGAGATTACGTTATCTTATATTTCAAAGCTCTTTTGCAAGCTTCGACAGAGTTTCATACATATTTTGTTAAAATACAGTTTACGTAGCCATCTTGGTGGTCAGTGAGATTAGAGTGTTCACAGATATGCTAGCACCACATTACCACGGAAAGTTCCACCTCGCTAGTTGCAGATGTTGATAAAATTCTAAAAAATCTGCCTCACGCAGACGGAAATGTGCGCAAGGTGATGCTCCTTTGTCGTGTTGTTGCGTGTGCTAGATTTCAACAATGACCTGGACCCCTAGTAAACGGGAGCACTTGAACCATGACCGCTACTATCGGCAAAAACGGCGTACGTCAGAAGATAAAACTGACTAAGATTGCATGGTTTCTTGAGTGTAGTATATTGCCAGAAGTCTAATTTTAATAATATCATAATTGTGTTTATGACTATCAGATTTGTTTTCACGCTATTTGTCCACCAAAATGTTCTACGTACCCTAATTTTTCGATAAGTTTCATGTTACATGACATCACTTGACAAGAACGTAGCAGATAATCGATACCTGCCTCATGTTATTCTTCGACCCTGAAGATGGAGGCGACATGTTACTTTCAGCGAGTAGAAATGATTGACTTCGACTATTTCATTGTTCATGTATTTTTATGCGTGCATAGTAATCGCGGACGGTCATTGGCAGTTGCTTCGTGTTCTCGTGGTTGCAGGATAGTAGGAGCAGCAACTGCTGTCCACTCATCAACCCCTTCTAAATGTTGTGAATGAGACATGTGCCGTTGCTGTCCTCAAGATAGACCACACGGTGGTCCAGGACTGTTAACCGCGGGGCGGGCAGCGGAGCGAGGAATATTAAGCGATGAGAATGGCACACGTGTTGTCAGTGTTTTGTTTCTGTTTGATAATGTTATTTACAACACAGCAGGACTGCTTCACCAATCAAGGTGAACTGTTTCCCTCTATGACCCCCCCTCCCCCTTTGAAATCACGTGAAACATTTTCTTTAATTTTAAATTATTTTGAACACAAACCATTATATATTATATGGCCATGATTACAAATAGCAAGTACCTCTCATTTTATTGAGTTAGAATTTTGCAGTAACAGTTACATTTGACGGGATGAATATTTCAGAATCTTCAACTGAAACAAGACGGAATAAAGGCCAAGCCAATGGCCCTATACTTCGCACGTTTACACTAAGTAACAGATAATTGTACATTTATCTTACATACCTCCACATTTCTTTACTAATATGTTTTATTTATATTTCTGAAAGATGCGTGTAAATTTCGAATTCTGCCCAGAAAATCAATAGCAAAATCATGAAATATGTGAACTTACGCATTAACTTGGACTTTACACTTATCTTACAAGTGGGATCATAAATTTCATCTCGATCATACAAATATCAAATTGATGTCACTACAAGGTCAACTATTCTTGTGTTAGAAATTAGTAGTTTATCATAATTATCTCTAAGAAAGAGACAGCACTTATTGCCACTACATGTTTAAAGATAGAGTAGAGACTTCCTTAAGCCTTCAATAGCTATCAGCAAGTTATTATCAAACCAGGAAAACAGCTGGGAGCGGGGACAGCTAAGTCGATAGCAACTGACTACGGAATGGGCAATAGAGGGGTCGGAGTTCGAGTCCCAGTACTGGCAATATTTCTGCCCACGTCTTCCAGACCGGCTCTCAGGCCCACCAAGCCTCCGATCGAATGAATACAGTTGAATTTTCCCCGAGGACAAAGCGGCCGGACATGAAACTGACCAATCACTTTTAGTATGGATCAATAAGTCTGGAAGTCAGAATTTCCCGAAGAATTTTAATGAAAACGATCCATATTGAATTTTAAGAAAATCCTCCTAGATTTTACCTCCTGAATTATGTGACAGACCGACGGAAGGAGAACTGTGACCTCCAAACAAGGCTGAACCACATTAAGACATAAAGAAACTTCCCGACAAACAGAATGTGATGTAAGTGTTAATAATAAGAGAGTACTCATGTTTTAAGCATATGTATTAATGTAAAGCCAAATTAACTTAATTCAAACAACTGTACGCTTCAAAATGTGTGCGCGGGGGTTCAGAACTTCTCTCGTGTAGGCGACACACAGGGTGGACATGGCTAATTACAGCACCGAATGCTGCACCTGGCAGAATGAAATGAACTTGACCAGCTGCTGATTAACAACTTTTTAGGTCCTCATGGCCACCAGATGCTTATCTGCGCTAACAAGCCCATCGCGACACCTCGCGACAGAACACATGCACAGCTGAATTTGCAAAAAAATAGTTTTAGAACAATCACAGCTTTGGTTGTCTGTATAGTTTTGAGTCCAAATATTTTGCTCCGGGGATTATATATAGTCTATAATGACAGGTACTTGCGGTAGTGACCAAGCTACAGGCTAGAAGATCGCGTGTTCGATTCCCGATGAAATCATTGTATTTTTCAATNTACAAGCTACAAGCCGGAAGATCACGTGTTCGATTCCCGATGAAATCATTGTATTTTTCAATTGACCTATCATTCCAGCTGCACTATGGCCCTTGGGTCTACTTAGCTTCTAACAAAAATGAGTGCCAGGAATCTTCCTGGGGGTAAAGGGCGGACGGCTCGTAAGGCTGACAATCTTACCGCCATCTATGATTCGATTGAAGAAAGCAGTCTTCTGGGATTTGGCACCGTGTATATGTGGTGTTAACCGACGTTTCAGAGGAAAGTATCGCCTCCATCTTCAGGGTAGAAGAAAAAATAATAAATCTGCAAGCGAAGAGACCGTGAGAACCGGTAAAAGCAGACTGTCTGCTGTCACATCTGCTGCAAAATCATAACATAAAGATAGTTAATACATCTCTGAAAATGTGGCACAGTTCAAATATTTGGGAATGATAATAACAGATACAAGTTTGATTCATGAGGAAAGTAAGAGATCAAATTCCGGTAATGCTTGCTACAATTCAGTCCAGAGCCTTTTGTCTTCTCGTCCGCTGTTTAAAAACAAATATTAGAACATACAAAACTACAGTTTTGCCTGTAGTTCTGTATGGACGTGAAACTGGTCTCTGATAATAAGGGAGGAACATAGACTGTGGATAATGCCGTCTTCTGGGATGTGGTGCCGTGTAGAGTGAGAAAAAAGGGGACACCACTGAAGATAGGATTCTGAGAATTTGTCCTGGTTGTATATTCCTCAAACACAAAGAACTTCTTAAGCTCCTGAAACCCGTTTACCTTTAAATTGGAAGGAGGAAAAATGTGGCCCAACGTGATGACGCGTGACATTGTAAATGAGTCCAACATTTTAGATTCCCTTTGCATGCGTCTCTACGAGCCAACAAGGAGTTTTGTGTGGGGGGGGGGAAATCAGGTTTTCAGTATAGAGACTATGCAGCATCTTATGGTAGGATGACTGATGAAGAGTCATAGCCAATTGAGATACTATACAGATATTTGTTTGGAGGGACTGAGGAAAATCACAAAATAGATGAATCAGGATATTCAGTGTACCGCCCGAGATTCGAACCAGGTGCCTTCAGAATACGAGTCGCCTCTACAGACACCTGTTCACGATGGTTTG